CATTTTTCTCCTTATTATTTTTAATGAACATTCTCCTACATCTCTCCCTTTGTCCTCAGATATAGTCTTCAATTTTGGGAGACAAAAAAAAATTCAGGTTGTACAAAATTAGCTATTGAACTACTCACAGCATCATGAAGATGTCAATGAAACTGATATTTGTTAACTGAACACACATCATGTCTGCCTTATTCGTTCTCAGAAAATATATTTTAATAAAATCTGAGGAGTGCAGTATCACATATTTGCTTCTAATTTAATTATGTAATATATTTAAACATATGTAGGTCTATAAATATAAATTTCCCGAGGACCTCAGGCAGTAGTTAGAATTATTTTAACCTAGAGCAAAGTCTTTATCATAGTGGCCAATTATTTCAAAATAAAACATTTCAATGAAAAGCCTCTAATGTCTCTAAAATATAGCTACTTTTCTACAGAACAGGTGTATTAAACTTTCAAAATTTTTCAAAATGCACTACCCTGGAACTTTAGTACCTAAGCCAAAAAAGCAAAAATCAGGGAGAATCTTTTAAGTCAGAGCAAGCTTTCTTCACAGACTTCTCTAAAACTAAGAGTTGGTGTTTTAGTTATCACTTTTGAAATTAGTTTCTTTTCAGTGCTAGTGAGAAAAGCCCCAGGGCAAAACTGATTGTAAAGATATTAGGAAAAGTACTAAAATACCTTTAAGCAACTTGACAATTGTTTGAAATGCTAATCACTTTCTTCTGCAACCTGGAATTATTCTTATTTATTTTCACATCCAGGTATATAACAGAACTATCTGCAAATATGGAAAAATGAAGATAAAATGATCAAACTGTGAAAATAGGTTTGTCCTCTGTTCTTCACATTATTTTTTTCTTGGTATTGGGAAAAAGTTAGATTTTTCCCAGCCCTATAAAAATAGCCTTTTAACATGTTAATAGCCTACGCATAACAGGGAATGTAATCCATTCTATTTTTACAATATCCATCTATAAAAAAATTCAAAGAAACAGTGAAATCTCACAGAGGTTGCAAGTGTTTTCATGAGGAGACTATGAGATGTTCTTTGTCAGAATCTTTGATATCAATTCATCATGAGTTTTAAGTCTCCAAAGATCTGGAATGATACTGACAAATTTATGAATAGGAAAGTGCGGATGAGGAGTATATTTTTAATATATTATGTAGTTGAATTATTTTAAAATATTGTTTACTAGAAATAGATTCTATATAAATACTTAAAAAAACATTAAAATTTAATTCAATTTTCCAGCTCTTCTATTTCAAAGTTTCAAACAATGAGAAAAATAACTTTAATATCATTTTGGGAGCCAGAGTAGATGACTCCAAAGCTTTGGGATTGGTCTCATTTGGTCTTGAGTTTCATTTCAATATTATTCAATGATACAGACAGCTAAGCGAGATGGAAATTAATAGGTGGCCAATGAGGGATCAGGAGCTTGAGGCAGTCAGTGTAGAAGATGAGACACCCTGAAGAGAGCCAGGCCTCCCCATGAAGATGGAATAGCCAGGCCTGCAGCCCCTCTAGTGATAAACAGCAGCTTAAAATTGTACTGTGATCAGCACCACGGGATCCAGGGAGCTCAGATAGGCATCGGACGCAGAAGTGGGCCAACAAAATATCTGGGCTTGCACTCCCTTCCCTTTCCAGGGATGCCTTTGTTCTTTCCATGTACTCTTGCTACATGATTTTTCCCCTATTGGGCCAATATTAGCTAAGCAGCTATCCTTGTGATGCTATATGTTGATGGTAGTTTGGCCTTTATTGTGATTTTGCTGTATAAAATACTCTTGACAAGTAGCTTCTGTGGCCACCCACTCGGGGATCCTTCCTGGAAATCAAGAAGCTCTTATTATTATTTCCAAGAAAACTTTCCCAACGTCCCTCTTTCATTCTCTTCTTCATTCCTAGATGTTGTGAGATCATACTCAGGACACTTGACAGCTAACAGGATGGGAGTTATTTTCCCCACACCAATTCTATGTTAATATACTCCTGGAACTTTTCCCAAAGCTAATTTAAAATCTTGTCACATTTCCATACATTTCAGTTACAAGGGACAGAGTCCCCAGGTTGGTGTAGACAGTCCATTAGTTTTACCCACGGCACAGCAGAAACATGACTTCTGTGTTTGTTTTGGTTCTCCTAGTTTCCGTGTACTTTCTCTCAAGTCTCACAGGCACAAAGCCAAAGCAGACCCAGGAAGACAAGGGTGTCACAAATAAGAATCCGTGAGTTTAGGAAACTCTAGTTCCTATAAAGGGGCAGCTGGCAACCGAGTGTATCTTTCCTTCTGAAAAGAGACAATAGTTTTACCCTACGTTTTAAACAAATCTTCAGAAGAAGGAGACAAAAATTCTTTGCAATTGCTATTTTCCCATATTTCCAGCGGTAGAGTTTTTATCCATCTGGAAGTTAAATAAACTTGAAGACATTACCTACAAATTTGTACACATGAAGAAATGTGAGATTTATGGAGAACTGCATATATCTCAAAATGAGATGATCTTGGATCATCTTTACAGAAGATAGAAAAGCTAAAAGCTGTACTTGGAATAAAAATATTTAAGAAGATGAAGGATGCATAGACTTCATAAAACAATAGAGTGAAAGTAGCAGTTTTCATCTTGGTGAACTGTACATGTGTTGGCAGATTAAACAGCATTTCAGGCCATACTTGATACCACATGGGGTTTAATGTTGACATAAGTACGTACTTTACATAATGGGGAAGTTAGGTTTTATTTTATAGAATATAACTTTACTGGAGGATGGTTAATAAAAACAAGCTGAATGCCAATTTGGCCATTGTTTATACAAATGTTAAACATTAGATAAAAACATGAGCCCCTCACACTATACAATTCTCAGCTACATTCTCATCTTTATTTTTCTCTATTACCCTCCAAGAATCAAAGTTACTACTTCCTTTTATTTCTCCTACATTTGATACCCCAGGAACTCTTGGTTTAAGAGAAAGCCATAATTTTCATATTTTTACCTACCCGACAGAGGCTTTTTCTTCAGCTGTTTCATTTTTCCACCAGTTTCCTCAACTATGAATGTCTCTCTTATCAGGAGGGCCCGGAAGTAGGGACTGTGCTCATCTGGATCCCCAATTCTACTTTTCCAGTCATTAATATTGGTGTTCTTATAGAATTCCTCTCTCATTCAAACCTGTCCATTTAAATTTGTCATTTGTATAATTTTCATATATTAATGAAAGACTCTGACATGTGTAATAACTGTGCTCCTATTTTCAAGCCATAACATTCAACATGTTTTTTGTGGATCCTATTGCTCTTCATTCCCTGATAAAGACTTCTCCTGCTTGGAGAATTCGTTTTTTTGACCTAAATCTGAAAAAAGACCTTAGTCACTTGTACTTTATTTCAGCTAATTAAAAACTCACCTGTATTATCATACATAATATTACTATATATTGCTTCCTCTCTAAGTTAATCTGTGCCGAAAAATGCTTCGTAAACAACCTCCAACTGCACAAAGTATTTGACCCTCTATAATCCATAACTTACTCGACACCTTGATTTTCTCTCAATACAAAGTGTCCTACTTGGCTTTGATTTCTTCTCTATGGATCAAATTCGAAGTGCATAAAGTTAATTTTGATTATAAAAATATTCCCAATTCTTATTTACTTGTATTGTGTCAGACAAGTTTAGAAAAGTATAGCCATGGATTTATCAAGTATCTTCTCCTCCTCCTTTACCCCTCATTCTCCTCCCTCTCCTCCTGTTCACCTCCTCCTGTCCCTCATCCTCTTCCTGTCCCCTCTCTTCCTCCTGCTCTTCATTTTTCTTCTTCTTGAGAGAGCATCTGGCTGTGTGGTCTGTGGTGGTCTTCAGCTCACTGTAGACTCACAGACACCTGGAGCTCACAGTGATTCTCCTCAGCCTTCTGAGGAGATTCTGGGATTCCAGCCCTCAATATGGCTTTGTCTTTCCCATGTTTAAAAGTCCAGCGCTTTAAGTATTGAAGAAAACCATACAAGCAAGTATATAAATAACACTTGAAACTTTTGTTGACAAACCTTATTTTGAAGATAGTCAATAATTAAGATAGTCATTGATAATTTAAAAGTTCCATAAGATACTATCTCTAAGGGCTTTTAACTAGAAAATACCTTTGTGATTTAGCAAATAGCCTTTAATCCATTTAGTACATGTAAATTTCAATAAGAAGGATTATCTCTTATGAAAATCACAGCTCAATACAGCAATGGAGTTTGAATTTTCTGAATACTTCTAGAGATAATAACAGCCGATATTAATAACAGTCCTAGAACAGTTTGAAGGAGCATGTTTAAAAGCCAAAAACAGGCATCTCAAGTGTTGCTAGTAATACAATTTTTCTTATTTCAAATAGTTTTATCTTGTACCCTGATGTTTCTGGAGGAGAAAATTTCAGTAATTAGTATTTATTCTTTAATGCAAAATATACTAATTTTTGATACATTTTTCTTTAAAGTATAATTTTCAATTTTTGAGGGGTTTCTTAGATTCAGTTTTATAATCAAATCTTATAGTTTTCAGCCTGAATTTACTTAATATAGCTGTAAATAACATGATTAAGATTCTTGTCATAGCATAAATGTATGCATTTTTTTCTTCGGTAGACTATACGATATCAGAGAGAAAGTATATGATTAAAATGCTCTCTGATAGCCCCGAATTAAAATCAATTGTATTATTTAATTGCTTCAAGAATACTGAGACAATTTTAAAACATCTAGAAAACTCCTGACATTACTACTATCCCTTCTTCCCTATCAGATGTTATCATGTAAGCACAACGTCATACTGAAAACTAGAAATTACTCATCACGGGAGTATAATACAAAACTCCAGGGTTGCTCTCCCTTCCCTAAAACGTCTGTCATTTGGGGCGGGGACAAGTGTACTCCGCCCACAAGCTATCCGCATTCCAATTGGCTGGCACCTGGGGACCTATTTGACAGTTGGCAGTTGAAGCTCACTAGCTTTGGGATGGGGCCGTAAGAGAGCAGAAAGACTGGGGGAAGAGACGTTTAGTTTGAGAGAGTGTTGAGGCAGGATCATGAAGGAAGAGGTGAAGAGAATTCCTGTAAAAGTGGCACTACGCTGTCGCCCTCTGGTCTCTAAAGAGATCAGTGAGGGCTGCCACATGTGCCTTTCCTTCGTGCCAGGGGAGCCTCAGGTGCTGGTCGGTGCTGACAAATCCTTTACATACGATTTTGTATTTGACCCCTCTTCTGAACAGGAAGAGGTCTTCAATACAGCCGTAGCACCACTCATCAAAGGTGTGTTTAAAGGATACAATGCGACTGTTCTGGCCTATGGGCAGACTGGCTCTGGGAAAACATATTCAATGGGAGGTGCATACACTGCAGAACAAGAGAATGAATCGACAGTTGGGGTTATTCCTAGGGTAATACAACTGCTCTTCCAAGAAATTGATAAAAAGAGTGACTCTGAATTCACTCTGAAAGTATCTTACTTGGAGATATACAATGAAGAAATCTTAGATCTTCTATGCCTGTCTCAAGAGAAAGCCTCTCACATAAATATCCGGGAAGATCCCAAGGAAGGCATCAAGATTACGGGGCTCACTGAGAAGACTGTTTTAGTTGCCTTGGACACTGTTTCCTGTTTGGAGCAGGGCAACAGCTGTAGGACTGTGGCCTCCACGGCGATGAACTCCCAGTCCTCCCGATCTCATGCCATCTTCACCATCTCCATAGAGCAAAGAAAGAAAAATGACAAGAATAGCAGCTTTCGCTCCAAGCTGCATCTGGTAGACCTTGCTGGATCGGAAAGACAGAAGAAAACCAAAGCTGAAGGGGGTCGTCTCAAAGAGGGTATTAATATTAACCGAGGCCTCCTATGCTTGGGAAATGTAATCCGTGCTCTTGGAGATGACAGAAAGGGAAGTTTTGTGCCCTACAGAGATTCCAAATTGACTCGACTGCTTCAAGATTCTCTAGGAGGGAATAGCCATACGCTCATGATAGCTTGTGTAAGCCCTGCTGATTCCAATCTAGAAGAAACATTAAATACCCTTCGCTATGCTGACAGAGCAAGAAAAATCAAGAACAAACCTGTTGTTAACATTGATCCCCAGACAGCTGAACTTAATCATCTTAAGCAACAGATACAACAGCTGCAGATTTTGTTGCTGGAAGCCCGTGCAGGGGCACTGCCTGGATCTGTAAACGTGGAACCGTCAGATACTGTACAATCCCTGAGAGAGAGGAATCAGTCCCTGGTAGAGGAGAATGAAGAATTAAGTCGGGGCCTGAGTGAGGCAATTGGTCAGACAGTACAGATGTTGGAGAGGATCATTTTGACAGAGAGAGAGAATGAAAAACTGAACATGAAACTAGAAGAGCTCAGGCAGCATGCAGCCTGTAAACTGGATCTTCAAAAGCTAGCAGAGAAATTGGAAGACCAAGAATTAAAGGAAAATGTAGAGGTAATTCATAACCTGCAACAAATGATTATCCAGCTATTGCATGAAACCATACCTTCTATGGTTGCACACATTGGTGCTGCGGTAGAAGCAGAAGCTCAAGTGCAGACCAGTCCAGAGACCAGCAGGTCTGCTGATGCTTTCACCACCCAACATGCTCTACGGCAAGCTCAGATGTCAAAGCAGCTGATGGAGCTGAACAAAGCCCTAGCACTGAAAGAGGCATTGGCCAGGAAGATGACACAGAATGACAGCCAACTGCAGCCCATTCAGTTCCTGTACCAGAATAACATAAAAAACCTAGAACTGGAAGTCATCACTCTACAAAAAAAAGAGCAAGACTTGATCCTTGAACTTCAGACAGCGAAGAAGGATGTCAACCAGGCCAAACTGAGTGAGCGCCGTCAAAAACATCTCCGAGAGCTAGAGAGGCAAATAGCTGATTTGAAGAAGAAACTGCATGAGCAGTCCAAGCTTCTGAAACTGAAGGAATCCACAGAGCACACGGTGACCAAACTGAGCCAGGAGATAGGGCTGATGAAGCACCAGAGAGTACAGTTAATGCATCAGATGAAAGATGATGCTGAGAAGTTTAGACAGTGGAAACAACAAAAAGACAAAGAAGTGATCCAGTTAAAAGAACAGGACCGTAAGAGGCAATATGAGCTTCTCAAACTCGAAAGAAACTTCCAGAAGCAGGCCAGCGTGCTCAGACGTAAAACTGAAGAGGCCACAGCAGCCAACAAGAGGCTCAAGGATGCTCTCCAAAAACAACAGGAGGTGGCGGATAAGCGAAAAGAGACTCAGAGCCGCGGAATGGAGAGCACCGCAGCTCGAGTGAAGAATTGGCTTGGAAATGAAATCGAGGTTATGGTCAGTACTGAGGAAGCCAAGCGTCATCTGAAGGACCTCCTTGAAGACAGAAAGTTGCTGGCTCAGGATCTGGCTCAATTTAAAGCCAAAAAGGAATCTGAGCAGAACCCCCCTCCTAAACTTCAGAGGCGCACATTTTCACTGGCAGAAGCCCCTGTTCGAATTTCAGAGTCAGAGGATCCTATCACAGAGCAGATTGAAAGCCTAGAGACTGAAATCAAACTCAGGAGTGCGCAGATTGCTGACTTCCAGCAGAAGCTCCTGGACGCAGAAAATGAAGACAGGCCGAAAAAGCACTGGGAGAGTATTGGCACAATTCTGGAAGCCAAGTGTGCCCTGAAATACTTAATTGGAGAGCTGGTCTCCTCCAAAATACAGATCAGCAAGCTTGAAAGCAGCCTGAAACAGAGCAAGGCTGGCTGTGCTGACATGCAGAAGATGCTGTATGAGGAAAGAAGTCATTTTGCAGAAAGAAAGAGAGAGCTGCAGGCTGAAAGGGTCAGAGTGGAGCAGCAGCACCAAGAGAAGGTGCTGTACCTTCTCGGCCAGATACAGCAAAGCCAAGTAGCAGAGAGGCAGTTGGAGGAGTTGGTCAGTAGGAAAGAACAACAGCAGCTACGCCCACTGAAGGGTCAGGATGAGGAGTTTAAGAAGATGAAGGAAGTGTGCCAGCAAAATCAGCAGCTGCTCCAAGAGAATGAAAACATCAAGCAGAAACTGAACCTCCTCCAAGCAGCCAACAGGCAGAAACCTTATCTTGCTGAGGATGCATCTCTCTCTCCAGACTCTTCCTTTGAATATGTCCCACCTAAGCCAAAACCTTCCCGTGTTAAAGGAAAGTTCCTGGAGCAAAGTATGGATGTCGAGGATCTAAAATACTATTCAGGGCATTCTCTGAGTGAGGACGGTGATGGTGATGGTGACGATGAGGAATGGAAGCCATCAAAGTTAATCAAAAAAGGGTCCAGGAAGATCACCCAAGGTTGTTCCTGCAAGGGCTGGTGTTGGAACAAACAGTGTGGCTGCAGGAAGCAAAAGTTGGATTGTGGTGTGGCCTGCAGCTGCAGCTCCACAAAGTGTCGGAACCGCCAGCAAGGCCTGGATGATTTGGGCACTGTTGAGTGGATCCAGGATTCTGACAGCTCTTTCAAACTGGAGGACCCCACAGAAGTGACCCCGGGATTGAGTTTCTTTAACCCTGTCTGTGCCACTCCCAAGAGCAAGATCCTGAAAGCGATGCATGATGTGGAGCAGGTGCTATCACAGAAGACTGCTCCCCCGCTCTCCTCCTTTGACCTCTCAAGCTCCAAACAAGAAACAGCAGGATACCAAGAAAAGGCTCCAGGGAAGAAAAAGAAGCGTGCTCTGGCTAGCAATACCAGCTTCTTCTCTAAATGCTCCTCTACAGAAGAAGAGGCTCACTGAGTGGGACTCATGTCTGCAGCCTCTAGCCAGCCTTGGGAGACACATTCAGGTTGCAGCCAGGGGCAGGTTTTGAATGACTTCTCTACATTTCAGGTGTCTTGCCGTTGAGCAGACAGAATGTTACTGAAAGGAAAGGGATCTTCACTGAATTTTAGTCTTTGGTCTCAGCCTCATCCCAGAGGACTTCTACTCTTTCTTCTCCAGACAGTGCTAAGCCACCTATTGAAGAGAAAACTCATTGACCTTCCTTCCCCCAGGGACCCGTCGGGAACCCATCCCCAGGAGGATGTGGCTCTTTCTTGCTTGTGAGCAGTTGTCTGATTCCTGATGCTGAGGAGGAAGAGGTTCCTTTATGGGTCATCTCAGCATGAAGGAGGATCTGGCCCAGATCCTGGATGGAGTCCTGCGCCCCACCCCAACAGCAGAGCTGGGATCCTTTCTGCCCTTACTCTGAACTTGCAGTCTTTCAGCAGGACCTTCAGTTGTCTGCCCTGTAGTGAAGTGAAGGAAATACTTTCCAATGTTAATTACATAAATAAAGCTTAAGGTGGAAAAAAGAAAAATGTTTATTTAAATGTCACCCAAAATGATAAGAGGTCTGATCAAACTCTTTGGAAAGAATATACTTTCATAAATATTAATGCCAGCCGGGGATTTAGCTCAGTGGTGCCGCTGCCTGCCTTGGAAACAATGGATCCTTAATGCCAGATTTGAAAAGATTCATTTTAAAAATTAGAAACTTTTTAATATAGTATATGGTTATACTTACATTTTTTAAGGATGGATAAGACATTTTCAGTATTAATTATTAAGTTGAAATTTCATTTTTTATAGTTTACAAATAAAGTTTAACACAGTTTCATAAAATGAACTTACAAAGGCATAATATTTTATAGAAAATTATAAGCTTTATTTCCTGCTTGAATCAATGTTAATTCAATAATTTTCTTCCCTAGATACAGTACTGAAAGGCTTTTGGATAAAATGAACATTAAACTCCCAATTTTTGAAATTTGTTATGTAAATAATTAAAATAAATAAATGAGAAGCAAAGAGAAAAAAGGAAAAGGTATATATCATTAAAACATAAGGAAGAAAAGCTTTCCTATGTTCAATAACTTAGTATTACATCTAATACTAAAACATTTGATGATTTCTAGCACATTATTCCTTTTTAAAGAGTAAAGACATTTTCGGTGCTTGACACAAAATGAATTATTTGTTAAAACATTAAAAAACTCAATGACTCTTTGCACTTGCAAAAATTCAGGAAAAAAAACTGCTGAATGTTTTGGTTCTTAGGTTAAAATATAAAGATAAGTTTTCTTGGATCTGCACATGGCTCTGACTTTTGTTCCAAAACACAGTCCTATGGTTTGTGCTCAATTGTAATCTATATAGATTCACATTTCTCCTATTTCAAATTAGAAGAGGAAGAAGAAGAGGAAGAAGAAGAAGTACGATTGTTTGACCTTACATATAACCTTCCATAGACAAGTGTTTATTTTCACTTAAGCATCATAGGATCCTTTCTAAGGTAAATTAAGGTAATGACATCAAAATAGCTTCTAAAGTGAAATTCAATAAACAGTAAAACTGAGCAGCTAGTATTAATACCAACTTTAGAAATATTGTTAATAAAAGTACTAATAAAAGGGAAAAACTCCCAAGGTGTCAGACAACAACAAAAATAGCTAGACCAGCGATTCAAAATTGAGAAGACAGAATGGAAATCGTGGAAAGAAAAACCAAACTTTAATGTTAGGAATGAGATAGCAAATGTAAACAGCCATCATTTGCAAAGTGAATAAAAATTAATAAAATTCAACAAGTGTTCCTTGTTGAAAAATGAAGCAACTTGTCTTTTTTAAAGTTGCATGACTTCAGGCAAATCATTGAATTTTTTGAGCTCTACTGTCATGATCTAAAAATGGAGATATTAGTACCCGTGTTTTATTTGTTTTGCATACATCCTAGATTATAAAAGCTATTTAATATTATTATGACCTACAATAATAAAGGCATATATCTTTTAAATTGCTTGCACTTGGGTAAGCTTTTCAAGTTTTTGTATAATTGGGTGGACATATTTAAGATACATATTCTCATAAGTTACGATATAATGCACATCAAGGAAGCTATCACCACATTCAAGAAAATAAATACATAAATCACCTCAGCTGCAGATTCAGCTCAGTGGTTCCACCACCAACCTCACAAGCACAAGGTCCCAAGTTTGATCCTCAGTACCAAAAAAAAAAAAAAGAAAACGCAGAAAACTTTCGTCCATACCTGTGTAATCTCTTCCTCCCATAGCTCCTTGCCTCTCCTTCCACACCTTGGAAACAAAGAAAACAACAAAAAGACACTTTTTGTCACTCTACCTGAGTTTATGTTTTTATAGTTTTTATAAAAAGATTAATATAGAGTGCACTCGATTTTAATTACCCCCATTAACTCAGCCTATTATTTGTTGTTGTTGTTGTTGTGTGTGTGTGTGTGTGTGTGTGTGTGTGTGTGTGTGTGTGAGGCAGGGTCTCGCTATGTAGTTCAGGCTGGTCTTGCACTCTCAGAGATCCTTTTTCCTCTCCTGAGTGCCGGGATTACAGGCACGTGCCACAATGCCTGGCTCTCGGCTATTATTTGGAGACTCATTCATATAATTCACACGTCAAGAGTTCACTTTTCTTCGTTCTTGAGTAGTATTGTGTCTTAGCGGTGTCTCTTTTTTTTTTTTCTGGTCCAGGAGATTGAATTCAGGACCTTGCACTTGCAAGGTAGGCAGGGTGCCATTGAGCTACATCCTTGGCCCTTTTAATAATGTCTTTTGATTAAGAGAAATTCTATATTTTGATAAAGCTGAATCCAAAAGTATACTTTTGGCATTGTGTTGTTAGACCCTTTTCCTTTCTCTTTTTAAGGTCACAAAGGTATTCTTTTATTGCTTTGCTAGAACTGTTATGATTTTTGATTATATAATTGGATTGATTATCCATTTTAATTGATAGATATTGTATATTTTATAGAGTAAATTGGTTTTTAAATTCTCTGCATCTGGATAGCCTTTTGTTCCAAATCCAATTTTTTTAAATTTTATTTTATCAGTACATATTTGCCATTACATGCATTTTGCAGTCACTTCGGGGAGTTGGCACATGCACATAACACAACTTCTTTCTTTTTATAATCTCCCTCCCTCCTTCCCTCTCTCTGCACCTCTAGATCTCCACTTCCTCTTTTCATTCTTGTTTATATTGTTGATCTTAGTTTATGTTTATAGCATATAATGTCCACATTCACTGAGGTTATCAGGGCTTTGTACCTGGTACATCTTCACTCTACCTGTTTCTTCATCCTCGCCTTCTCCACCCTCACCCTTGGATTCCTGGACACCTTCTCATCTGCTACAGATCTATCCCCTTGTCTCCTTATCGCCTTCCTTTTAATTTCTCTAACTTCGTGCTTTGCCTTATACACAGATCCAATTATTGAAAGCTTGATCTTTTCCCACTAAATTTCCTTGCATTTTACCTGAAAATTAGTTAGCTATATATCTATGAGTCTATTTCTGTACCTTTATTTTACTCTTATGTTCATGCCCAAACTACTGTCTCTGATAATGTAAAATCCTAATCAAGAGCCAGTAGTTCTCATTCTAGGTGCCTTTTCAACATTGTTTGGGTTCTTTTGGGTTCTTCGAATTGTTACATGTGTCCCAGGTTCAGTTTATCATTTTCACTGGAAAGCCTGCTAGGATTTTGACTGGGTTGAATTAAGGCAACAGATCAGTTTTGGGCAAACTGAGACCTCAACTTTCATCTCTGACCAGGAACATGGTATATGTCTCCAATGGCTTAAGTCTAATATAATTTCCATTAGTAATATGTTTCCATTTTTTTTCAGCGTCCTATTCTCGTGCATCTGAAATTTGCATCCGAACTTTGCATCCTCTGATATCAACACATGAATAAAATTCTCCATGTTTCAAACTATTTAGATTTTTTCCATTTGTTTTATTATTATTATTAATATTAGTTTTATTGGTACATTTTGGGTATGCAATATAATGACATTCATCAATGAAAATTTGTACCTTTACATAATCCATCTTGATTCTTATTTTACTCCTATTTCCCTGCCCTCCCTTCAACCCCTCCAACCTTCCCTATTTACAAAGACTTTGTTTCCATTTTTTTCTTTTTCTCATATTAATTCCACTTCCCTCTTTCCTTTCTCCAACCCCTCCCACTTGCCTTACCCAAATGGACCTTTTCTTCCTATTTGATATTATCTGTTATCCCTTTAGATCCCTATTTTCACTTTCTACTTTTGTGTTTTGATCCTGAATAGACCATCCTCCAAGCTTTCCACTATACTAGGTATTAATTAGTGAGACTAAAAATTACTTTGACTTCCTTCCAGTGCAAAAAGTTTCTTGTATTAAAGAGAATACTTTCTGGAGAAGAAAATATGGGAGATGGATAATATATTTTCCATTATAGAACAAAACACAAGTACTTAAGCTAGAGAAATTTGGTGAATAAATTAACACTAAGCATGAAAAACTGTAACTTTGGGCAGTTAAGATAATCATCAGAAGAAATCTAAATGTTAGAGAATTGGTATGAATTTGGAATATGTAATAAGGAAAATATTTCTTTTTCCTTTTGTTAGTACATATCTGCTGTACATGGAGTTTACATTCATCTTGCATGTGGATCCATGTGCTTACTACAGCTTGTTTCTTTTTTTTTTAGTCCCCTTCTTCCTAGGCATCTCCCTCCCTCTGCCTCTAAATCCTCTTTTTCCCATTTTCATTCTTATCAAATACTGTAAAAATTAATGACATCACCTAAAAAATGTATTCTGAATACTAAGAAATGGAAACTTTCCAGTATTTATTAATAAAGAGAATGCATATTTTAAAAATGCACCAAAGTATAAAATTTAAAACTGTTTTGTTTTCTTAAACTGTACTTTGGTGTAGTGAAAACTGAGGAAGGAATAATGTGAGATCAGATGGCCATGAAACTTTGATGTTCTGCATAGACCTGTCACTTTATGATTTAATCAGTCATTAAATGCTTTTATTTCTGTTGCACTATATTAATTAGTATCTTAAGGACCATAATTATTTGAGACTGGTATGGAAAATTGGAAGATCCAGCACAAAGATTTATTAGAATTACTTCTAGTAAAAGGATGATACGGCACTAAAAGCAAAAATGAAGAGAGTACTCTTGCTTCCCTTTACAGAAAGAACGGATACACATGGGCCAGGCAGCACCTCGCTTTAACATGAGACATGGCTTCTTCCTCCGAACCCTACTAAAATGTTTCACTTCTGTAATTCAGACAAGAATTCAGACCATCGCGAATAGCATTTGTGTTGCAAGTACATTTCTACCTTAAAATATTAAATTCATTGTTATATGCATTTATTGAACCACATTATCCTACAAAGTATGTTAATATGTAATTGATAATAAATTGCTTAATTTGTTAAGCACCTAGCTGCTATTTGGGTGTGAGCCTGTATTTTATTCCAAATACTTGAAGCAAGCTGAACAGAACTTACACTGATACAATTTTATAACACTATAAATAATTATAAATTATAAGTGACTAAATTTTATTTATTTATTTA